TGTTTATATGCTCATAGCTAGCATAACAATTGAGTCCGACCAGAATGTTTTAAGACCTATGATTGTTTATGTGGTGATTTTCGTTGTTTTATTTCTTTCTTGAAACTGACTTATCGAATCCTTCTGTTATTACAGCTCAGTCATGAATAGTTGATTACAATCTGTGGTTTTTTTCCAAAACGACCTAAATTCTATATTGAAATGTGTAATACTTTTTTACGGCTTTTTACTTTAATATAATTGCTAATTTATTGTTTTAATGTGAAAGTGGTATTACTCAATCCATTTTTAAATGCGATCCAGTTCATTTTAAAGAAGTTTAACTTTTCGTTTACGAAACTTTAAATGGATATCTGCAACTTTTGGAGTTCGATTCAATCTGCAGGTTGCACTTGTCATAAAATGACTTAAATTGAGGTACCATCAAAAGTCGGTGAGGACTGGAAAATTGTTTGATCCTAATGTGAACGTTTTGAACAGTACGCGCCTGCAACCTCACCAGTAATATAACGCAGGATCTTCAGATCTCACGGGGAATGATTAATCATTAAAACCTCTTAGCCAACGTCCGATAGTACAGTTTCAACCTTAGTCAATTTATGGCGTAGCGTGATGATAATCCAATGTCCCAAGTACTCCGTGGTTTCTAATGGTAACACAGATGAGATCAATCTGTTTCGAGTATAATCAATGAATGTGTATACTAAAAATCATTGATACCATAGTTTACATGTTAAAGAGTAAACGCCGAGCCATACAACGATTAGTAATATTAATTACATGGGAAAATGCCTAAGCAGATTGTTAAGAATATCAGTTGATTAATTATTCAGGATTCAATAACATTTACCAGCTTATCTATTTATCCTTGAATAACTCAGCTTAATTTTATGTAACGTAAAGTATTTGTACTCAAATATTTTTTTCCATATTGTTTTTATGTAATGATTTTAATGTTATCTGAATAATCTGAATTGATAACTGTTGTATATACGAAGCAACGGCATGTTCTGTTGAAGGATACGGTTATAAATATCTATTAGTTTTAGCCTTCGATTACAATGACCATAGGTTTATGAAGAGATGGGTGTTGCTGTAATAGTTTCGTTACAATTCCACGTAGAACTAAGTATTATTGTTTCCGGAGCTAAAAGCCTTCGGAATAAATAATAATAATTATGATAATAATAAATCAAACCCATCAAGTGTTATATCTCCCAGCATATAATGTACCGTTGTGTGACCTGTTTTGTTGAGCCTGTGATACAGTTACCAATTTCAGTTAACGAAATTCTGGTAACGCTAGAGCTAAGAAACTGAAGACATTGAAGATTCTGCTAAATCATAAATGTTAACTATTGAATGACGTAGTCTGACTACTGTACTTACTACCTTTCGTAGTCCAATGTAATTGTCTCTGTTCTCTTTATTTACAAATCTTTGTATTATTTAAATTCACTTGGTATTGTTTACTTGAATTTTCCATTGACGTTTAGGATTGCAATCTATCAGTCTATTGCTGGGATATGTGCATCCTATGGGGATTGCCTTGATATTGCCTTAAATCACATGCATTATAAGCAGAGATGGATTATGGCCAGCAGTGGAATCCAGGGAGCGTGTCTCGTCCTATCTGGGCCTCGTCAGCTGGATGTACCCATATCTCAGAGTTGAAGTTCACTTTGGGACTCGAACACAGCACCATTCGCTTCAAAGGCAATCGCGTTATCCACTTATCAGGTACATCTGGCTGGCGAATCCCAACTAGGGTGAAACGCGCGTCCTGGATTCCACTGCTAGCCACTATCCATCCTTGCTTATAATCTTTGTATTATTATTACTATTGGTTAAACATCAATAATAATCTCCCCAACACATGATTCATTCACTTCGCATTCATTCCACCTTATTACGTCTTACTAATTTTTCACACAATATCGTCTTCCACTAAATATTCGATCGAATTGTAATTGCAATTGTAAATATTTCTTTCACCCTATCTGACCCATATTTTTTCTGATCATGGATCTTAAATTTTAACTTAACATATAAAATGATTCCAGTTAAGATTCTTTACCAGTCATATCAACATTAACAATTTTATTCTATTTTGTTTGACAATCCAAATTCACATGCTTTAACTTTTAACGATGAATTTTCCGCTTAACCTGGCCATTTTTCGGATTATTAATTTCGGATATATAATTGTAGAACGTGAAGAGATTTTATTGGAAAGAATATTGTTCGTTCAAATATTATTCTTTTAAAATCATAAATCGCCTAGAAGTTGACCATTGGATTCATACTCATTAGTAGTCTCAAGGTAATACCGACTCCGTTTGCAGCATTGGTTGTAGACACTGGAACAATGCTCTCTATCCAGTTTACCTAAGTTTTCAATAATTCTTTTTTTGTATCGAATCAGTTTCTAGAGAAAAATATTCATCTCTTCTCTATAAACATCTAATTATAAGTAAATATGCGTTGTTCATTTGTGTTCGGTTGTTGAAATAATCAATTAATTCAATATATATTCTGGTCTAATGATAACTGTACCATTAATCTGTTATAACTTTATATTCACTGTTGTTCATCAATAAAACAGAATAATTTTCTTTTTTCATATCAAACAAATCACTTTTTATTATGCCACCATAATTGATTGAACATTCAGTAAATATTATAAATTTTTCATACTTAACAACTTATTGATGTTTAAAACAATTAGTTCCTTTTATAAGTTACGATAGTGCAATGAGAAGATGGTTATCAGTATTATGTGATATATGTTAGCGCAATACATATCGAACAATCTGATCACACATATACTTGTTAAGACATTTTATATGAAAAATAAAAGGTCAATTGAACAAATTAGAAGATAAACAGAAACAAATATAATAATAAAGTACCACACTGGATTATAAGTCAGTGTTACCAGGGTAGGTTCTTATAATATCAGTAACTATGTCTAATACTGAAAAATTCTCATTATTATATACTATGTATGAGAAATATTATTTCAAAATAGACCAACAGTATAAATATTTCATATCAGAAGGGGTTTTGTGGATATTATAGTAATTTGTATAATTAAAGTTAGACATTAATACCGTTAGATGCCGGTTCAGTTATGTAATGGTTAAGCGCTCGCACGCGAGACCAATAGATCTTGAGTTCAAATCTCGCGAGGTGGTTCGTGGATGCACACTGCTGAGGACTCCCACAGTAGGACGATACGACCGTCCAATGCTTCCAGGTTTTCTATGTTGGTCTAACTTCAATTAACTCATGATCTCAACTGTTAGAAAAATATTTCATATATGTTATTGCAAAGTTTTTCATTAAAATCACGTTAATATTATAATAGATCATACTCAGTCACATTTTTCTATAAATTAATTAAGTCGTCAATATGACCATATAATAAAGATTTGTGTGTTCAGTTGTCCTGAATAGATTTTAAATTTCCAAGCATTTAATATCATCTTTTCTATTTAACCTTCAATAGGTGGATAAACTATTAAACCAAAATAATCAGTATATAGTCCATCGCAATATATTTACCGACTGTCTATGTTGTCTACCTGTTTCACAATAATTATGTTTCTCTTACTTATTTCTCTTCATTTATTTTAATTACGATCGTTTGTTGTAAATGGCTGAAATGATATTGTGACATAGTTGATGGTTAAATTACATAAGTCTCTTATAAATTATGGACTTAACATTTTTTTTATCTTTGTAATTTGTTAAATTTAGAATACATTAATCAACAATCAATTTGTAAAGTTCTGTAGCGTTGTGTAATATAAGTAGTTTAGTGTTGTTTACTTTGTCTATTTTTGGTGGGTTAAATATCCAATTTTTTTTTTAGGATTTAGATATAATCATATACAAGTACTAGTTGAATCTTTATTCTCTCTTTTTAAACTGTATTACCTTAATTACTTTTTATTTGCTGATAATTTATGAGGGATATAATTGAAAAGACGTTTACCGAAAGTTTTTTTACACAGATTTTCAGAGAATATTTACTTTTCATAATTATTAGGGTTTTCTCTGTTGCTGTTATGAACTAGAGTTGGACAGTTAGTAAGATCATTAAATTGTTAAATCCTCTTTGTGTCAATTATACTAATGACTTTTCCCTAGATATTACACCTGTGCTGATGATGATTAACCTATGGTAAACTTTTGCTGCTCCCAATCTATCTAATCGGAACACGAGGGTTGCAATCCGATTTACTTAATAAGTTCATAACTCTAAAACTCATATGATAATATATGTTAATTATAAGACGACAACGCACTATAAATAGAAAACCACAATCTATGTATAATTATATCATCTATAGTACAAAACTGAAAAACACTTAAATCACCAACTAACCGTAATTCATGAATCTTAAAAAATAGACCAACAGTTAAATTCAGGCATACAATTGGAGTAATATGGAAATACCGTAAGTCAAGCATTTGCTGAATGACCAATAAAAGTATGTATAAAATAATCCACTGTTGAACAATCTTCAAAGTTCCCCTTTTTTAGATCATGCTTAAAAATTACTCGTTTTTTTTTCAACAAAATATAGAAGCTTGATTCTTCTCTCTTCACAGATTACAAGTATATAAAATAAAAGATAATTTTCATCAGTCGAATATCATATATATTAGGAAATAAGAGACAGCTTAGTCGATTCAACGTCAATATAAAATTTGGTATCTCTTTGAACTTTCCTTTGTTCACTGAACATAAGTGAGTACTTTTCTATACTCAGCAGCGAGTACATTGAAGCTTACGTCTGGGTTAAGAGTTCCCGAGTGTTTCAAACTTTATTGATTCATGGTCATTCCTGTGTAATTCATCCTGAACAAATGTACCTTGAAGCCTTATAATATATTGGTTCATTCTATTTGTTTTGAGGATTTTTTTGAAGGGGTTAGTCATAGATATGTTTAATATTTTGTGTTTTGTTTTTACAAAATTTTTTATCCAGCGACATTAAACCGGATAATTTTCTTATGGGTTTGGGTAAACGTGGAAACCTCGTCTATTTAATTGACTTTGGATTGGCAAAAAAATATCGCGACAGTCGAACACGTCAACATATACCATATCGAGAGAATAAAAATCTTACTGGGACGGCTCGATATGCTAGTATCAATACACATTTGGGGATAGGTAAGAGATAAATTATCGTATGAATTTTTCATTTTTATCTTCAAAAACACATGTGGCATTTCTTCATGTTCTTTTTTTCATATAGTGTCAACAAATTACGTCATGGTTACTTGTTGTAATCGGCTTTAAATTATGCACACACACACCTAGACATAAGTAAATCGATATGAGTTCAAAGTTTAAACCTAGGAACAACTGAACGTCACATTCTGTAACCACTTATCACTCCTGCTCAATTAATTCTAGACTGGTGACTTTACATTTATTTTTATTTTTATGCTTGGTCGTCATGCACAAGCTGAACATGATAAAACTATTGCTATTTTTAAAGAGGAGCCAGCCGATAAGAAAATGTTGACTGCATAAAGCATCTATAAATGATATAATTTGATTGATGTATAAACTGAAACTTATCCGTTCACAGTCATGTATCATTGTCAGCAAATTCTAAGAGCTTTCCATTATTATTCCAATATAAAGTATGAATGAGATGACTTATTTTACGCACATTGTAACTTTACTTGCGGTTATAAACTATGATACTTAATTCAAACTTTTTGTTATAACTTGCTAGTTGAATGCTACTTGTTATATCTGGTGGTCGCTGATTGTTGCCTCTTCGTCGTCTCTGCCTATTCTCCCACTGACTGCAGCTCAGATGATGTAAAAGATGAGTTTTACAGAAAGCTTTCGGACCTTCTCCGAAAAGCTAGGCGCTCGGATGTAGTAATAGTGGCCGGTGACTTTAATGCTCAAGTAGGTAAACTAAGCGATAGGGAAAGACACCTAGGTGGATCTTATGGTGTCGTGGCTCAAAGAACAGATAATGGCGACCGTCTGTTGCAGCTATGCTCAGATAACCGCCTGTTCCTTGCAAATACTAACTTTAAGCATAAGGAAAAACATCTTTTAACATGGCGACCCCCTAATTCGTCCCAACGTTGGACCCAAATAGATCACATCGCTATCAGCCACCGATGGAGGGGCTCGATAGAAGACTGTCGCTCATTCTGGAGCACATGCCTAGATTCAGATCATGCTCTAGTGCGAGCGCGTATTTGCTTGCGTCTTACTGGACGTAGGAAAGACGCTGCAAGGAAACCTCTTAGGGCCTTACTTAATGATAGTCAAGCTAAGAGTATATTTCAGGAACAACTAGGAAAACAGTTAGGCAGCCATGTATGTGATGCCCACCCCGATGCAGCATGGAATGATATCCGAAAAGCTGTGGAAACAGCAGTGATATCTGCTAGTAAGGTAAACCGGAAGGTTAGGGAGCAACACTGGATCTCAGCAGCATCTATCGCACTGATAGATGCTCGGAAACTCATTCCACCTGGCTCTGAACATAATGAAGAGCGGAGTCAGCTTAAGCGCAAGCTGACAAGAAGTCTACGCAATGATCGCGAACAGTGGTGGGTAGCGAAAGCAAGAGAGATGGAAAAGGCAGCGGCAATAGGTAATAGCAGACAATTGTTCAGACTCGTTAAGGAAACCGGAATTAGGAACCCGACCGTTAGCGAAACAATCTCAGAGAAAGATGGACATATTATTCATTCTCAATCCAGGAGATTGGATCGATGGGCAGAACACTTTAGGGATCAGTTCAACTGGCCTTCAGCCACACTTCGGTTTCCCACGATCTCTAGTCAACCTGAATGGCAAGTTAATGTAGGTCCTCCGTCCCTTTACGAAGTTGAAAAAGCCATAGGAAATCTGAAACGAGGGAGAGCAGCAGGCCCTGACAGGTTTACTCCTGAGATTTTTAAGGATGGTGGTCCAGTATTAGCAATGAGATTAACTGAGGTCTTAGGTAGAATTTGGGAACTGGACGTAATCCCATCTGACTGGTCTCAATCACTGATTGTGCCAGTCTATAAGAAAGGACAAAAGTCCTCTTGTGACAATCACAGAGGAATCAGTTTGACTAATATAGTGTCTAAAATATTAGCTTCAATAATACTTCGACGCCTAACCAAAGCTCGTGAAGAGCAGACTAGAGAAAACCAGGCTGGTTTTCGACCTGGACGTGGTTGTATAGATCAGATATTCACACTACGTCAGGTTCTAGAACACAGACACACATTCAGACGCCCCACAATGGTAGTATTTCTCGACCTTAAGGCGGCATTCGACTCTGTTGATCGTGAGGTTCTATGGCAGTGTTTGTCACTGAAAGGAGTACCAAAGAAGTACATTAACCTTATAAAGGCTCTCTACTCGAACACAACTGGTAGAGTGAGAGCTTATGGCGAACTGTCATCAGAATTGATTACCTCAAGTGGTGTTCGTCAGGGCTGTCCACTCTCCCCATTCTTGTTCAACTTTGTCATTGACGTACTTTTAGAGATAACACTCTCCTCATCTAAATTTCCAGGGGTTGAACTTCTACCGGGAGGTTCACTTGTTGACTTAGAATATGCTGATGACATAGTTTTATTTGGTGAAGACGCTGACAAAATGCAGAGTCTTCTGACCACTCTAAGCAACAATGCAAGCATGTTCGGGATGCGATTCTCTCCCTCGAAATGCAAAATGTTGCTTCAGGATTGGGTTACATCGACACCCGAACTAGTGATAGGGAGTGAAGTAGTTGAGTGTGTCGACCGCTTCACTTATCTTGGAAGTCTCATCAGCCCTTGTGGTTGGTGTGTGACGAAATCTCAGCACGGATACAGAAGGCTCGACTAGCTTTTGCCAACTTGCGTCATTTATGGCGTAGGCGAGATATCCGTCTATCAACCAAAGGACGGTTTACTGCGCAGCAGTTCGTTCCGTCCTACTTTATGGCAGTGAAACATGGCCGGTAAGAGTAGAGGATATCCGTAGGTTACTAGTATTTGATCATAGGTGTCTTCGAAATATTGCTCGTATATCATGGGACCATCGAGTAAGTAACACAGTTGTTAGGAAACGGGTACTAGGTAAGGATGGCAAATCAATTGATGAAGTAGTGAAACTTCATCAGTTGAGATGGCTGGGACACGTGTTACGTATGCCCAACGACCGACTGCCTCGACGTGCTATGTTCAGTGGTATAGGAGTAGGTTGGAAGAAAGCTAGGGGCGGCCAAACCAAAACATGGCACAAGTCCATGAAGTCACTGACAAGTGGACTGAGTCATGTTGGTAGGTGTAGACTACCTGGTTGGGGACCGCGAGATGATAGCAACCGATGGTTAGAGACCCTGAATGACATGGCTCAAAATCGTTTGCAATGGCGCAGGTGCATCCACTCTCTGTGTTCTCCCAAATTCTAATCTTCTGAATTCTTCATGTCCCTTTTTTCCTCTTTCCAAATTTATTTCACTGGATTATACTCTTTAAATAACATCTCCAAACCCTAATCTTCCCGATTACTGCTTATACTCTTATTACCTCTACCACTACGGGAATCGAATCGACACCTGCATCTCTGTGCTAATGTGGTGTGGCAACTCGAACTGATGTACGTACGTACGAAGTTCTACGTTGTTACTGACTGACTGACCCACGGCGATAGAGTAAGAACACAAAGACTCGTATAAGTGAAGATTTATGAATTCCAAAGCACGACGACTCTAGTCGAAAATATACTCATTTATATATTGATTGTACACACACTTTGATTAATAATTAGGATGAAATCGCATAAATGAAAAAGTAATTACAGTTATAACAAATCACATACTAAGCATAGTTCATGTCAATTAAATACGAGAATACTGTGTATTATACAAAATAAAATATCATATGAGAAGACAAAACAACTACTACACTGAATGATCATCACATTGAATTGAGACGGAAGTAATGTTGAACGAAACACATAATGAGTAAATCAATTGAATTTGACTTTTCTTCTATCACGGCACTTTTTATTAACAGGAAACATATATATAACACTATGACCTGAGTCTAGCTGTATAACCACTTGAAACCAGTCAGCCTTGTAATTCATCACCAGCACTCATCTACGAACAAACCAAGGGTCGAACCCCTACATTATTTCTTACGATGGGCACCTAACTTTTAGACTACTACTTTAATACTAAGTAGTTTATTGTTTAATTGAAATCGATTCACTGTATTGCTTAACTATCTTCGATTGCTTTTGATAGATAAGTACACACTGTTCAGCATTGGTACACTAGGACAAAAAAGCTGTCCAATGCTTCTTAATCTCTAATGGTTATCTAGCTAAGGTCAATCGGTGATGTTAATTATATAGAATTCAACAATCTCTACAAAACCCGTATATTAATTATATAGATTTGAATTCTTCCCGACATCTGGTCAATCGATTAAATTTTACTTATTTTACGATCTAGATATGATGGTGATGACAGATGTATCAATATATTTTCAGTTTTATAAATATATATGTATATTTATATATTATTCTATTTAGAAATCATTTCACGCAGGGTCTTATAGAGTTGTCTACTGATATCTTCTATACAAGTATCCACTTGTTTATGTATTCATATACATTCGTATGACAGCTGTTTCCGTTCAAAATAAACCAGCAAGTCAGTGATAAAATAACGATTCTGTCACTGAATCTATAATTATTTAATAGTTCATAATAGACGGATAGATAACTGTTGTGACTTTTTTTATGTCATGACGATTAATAATCTCCTTCTTTTATCGTACTGCATGTGTCAGGTTGATGAGATATTTTCAGACTTTGAATAATTTTAATTTAAACTATACAGAGCATAAATGGTGCCTGGTTCTCCTGTAAAACAATTTAAGATTATTATTTATAATTATGAAATAAGTGGTATTGGGTAGTATTTATATTGTTTATGTACTTTGTAATATTACTTATGCGAGCGTATAAATTTTCTTATAGATTGCTCTATATATAAAATAAAAAAGGTCTATTACATTACATTCAATTAAATAATATGCATATCTACAATCACATAAATCAGAAATGTAATACGTCATTTCTACTGAGAAAATTGTTTATGAAATAAAACTAAACTGTTAGAAACATTTATATCACTTACAATAAGATTAATTTATAGGGTAAATTCACTTCATAATACCTCAGTGTTATTGAATGTTATTATTATTATTATTATTATTATTATTATTATTATTATTATTATTATTATTATTATTATTCACAGAACTGATTTATTTATTAATGACTTATGTTGTAAACAATGAACATATAGGTGTATTATGTACCATTCCAATGTTATTATTATTGTTATTATTTATTTATCATCTCTGTTATATTCAGAAATTTTCACCTTAAAAAGTAGAGGAACGATAAACAATTTTGTACAAGTTTCGTTTTGATTAGTAAATTTGATTTGGATTACGTTCTTGACTTACAGAGTTTTTTTTTATTAGTGTGATTGTTTTGAATTTCTGTCCCTTTTTTTTCCTTATCTGATTGTCTGAACTTATTCAGATATGTGGAATAGAAACTCTGATGTATTTATCATAGTTACCCCTATCTAGAGTGTATTTTCATATTCACCAATTCATACTATTGTTAATTTTATCTTTTGATGGAAAGAAAAAATCAAATGTTTCGTTAAACCTAGTTCAATAAACTTCGAATCATATCAATTTTTGATTCATGTTGATGTTGAATAATAGACAACATGAATTTAACTGTACGGTATTTTTAAGTCCTGTGGAAGTTATACTAAATGTCTTTTTCATTATATTCTGAGCCATTTTTAACATTGTGATTACTGTTATTGGCTTTTTGGTTTGGAATAATAGTGTTTTCTTTTATGACATTTCCTGCTTGGTTAGCATCTTTACTTTCTTATAGTAGGAGGAAGTTATAAGGAATACAGTCGTTCGTTGTTAGTGTTCAACTGATGAATTTTGATAAAAGCTCATTCTTGATGGTTAATGAGTTGAATATACACTTAGAGATTACATTATATACTTCGCTATTTCTTAGTTGTTTTGTATTCTTACTAACTTATTTGCTTAACCAAAATCCTTTCAAGAAATATACTTTCTATCTTATTATTTAAGTTCACAGAGCTTACCTTTTAAACCAATTTACACATATGGGATAAGTTCAATCAATTCTCCGTGTAATGCAGGTACAGTTAAGCGAATACTTACTGTTGAACGTCATTAGTATCTTGAGAATATTATGAACATTTATAACTGGTTGTCAGGTATCTAATTTGAATTTCAAAGGCTCATTTAATGGCGTTCGTAGTTAACGTCACTGTAAACCAGTTTTATAAACGATATTTCCCATTAAGCTATTAATTACTATAACTTAGCTTTTGCTTATTCTTGTCAAATTGTCCATCTGCCTCAGTATTATGTCTATTGTTTTACTCCATATCTCCAGAACAAGCTCGTCGAGATGATATGGAATCACTTGGTTATGTGTTAATGTATTTCTTACGTGGTAGTCTTCCATGGCAAGGTTTAAAGGCTGGCACTAAACGTCAGAAATATGAACGTATCAGCGAAAAGAAGATGCAAACACCGTGGAAGTTTTATGTGAAGGTTATCCAGGTACATTATTTTGAAGTTGCTTTTTTTAATTCAGCTGTCTGAATAAGTTTATATTTTAATTGTTAAAATGATAAGTTTAAAAAGAACATGATGTGGTTTTATTGCGAACAAGATTATCTCGAATGCTTTTAAAAGTATGCGGAAAATCTTTAATTTGTGGCTGCTCACACTATGTAATGATGTTTATTTTTTGGGAACTTGAAAAAGAAATTTCGTTTGCCGTGGTCTTGGTGATCTGAGACCATGAGCTTAGTGTTCAAAGGACAGCCACAAGTTTACTCCATAATTCTATGGGGATACCGCAGGCGACGAAATTCTATGTAGCAAGGTGAGGTGTGATATTGTTAAGGTCGACTTTTCTAACCCTCTTCCATTATGGGAAGGCAACATTCCTACCTATATTGATTTTGTGAAGGAAATATCCTTAAACAGTTAGCATTATGGCTTCTCCATAGACTATATTTTACCATTTCCAGTTTGACTATTCCCCATCCAACCTACCTGGCATAGTAGGACTTAAAGGTGCAGACTTTCCAGCTAATATAGCTTTATTCAGTTACTACAATAAACAAGGCTGACTACAACGTCTAAGTAGCGGTTAGATTAGGGTCTTCCTAATAGCTGATGTACAACAAGTTTAGTTGATCTAATACTAGTAAGTGGGGTACTCATCAAAAAGGAACACAAGGTTTTATCATATTTTGAATAATGAATGGGAGTGGAATCGTAGATATGCAACGTCCAAATGTATAACTTATTTTGGCACGTGTCTCCAGGCAATACTTAATACCAACATCCAGGATATATTTATCGATTTCCTGTTAAATAATGAGAACCTTTTTCTGTTCGTTTTTATTATTTTTGTTACGAGTTTAGCACCTCTTACGATTTGTAATGTTGAATTGAGATCTCAACTATTTTGTCTGGAGGGTCATCCTTCATCGTGAGAAATGCCTAATAAGACTTCTAACTACTTATTGTTTGCCAGTAGCCATAGAACAATATTAAAATAGTATTAAGCAACATGGTACCACATTTGATTGCTGTACTTGATGATATAAGATGAACACTGACTTACTGTGTAGATTTCGTGGTTAAATGTATTCAGTGGCATGCCTTTCAGACCTTGAATTATAGTAAAGCTTTCTAGGTGAGTCAGATTGCGTCTTTTGGACATTTGATTCATTGACACATGATGGCACACATACCCGGTCTAGGATATGTTTTATGGAGGGAAACAGGCAGAAACCCCTCTAAGGACTCAAAGACTAGATTTGATACTACTTAGAGGATATCGTGGATGTTGATTCTTCTGTCAAATATACAGTGCAAGTAAATTAACACTACACAACTTGGGTCTCGTGAACTCTAGGCATACACATAAACAATGATGCTTTGATAGTTACGAGAACACTAGGTTGTGTGGTTAATGAGATACATTTCATATTTTTACATGAAACATATAAAAGCAAGTCCCGTGCGTTTCATAGTATGTATATGAACATGGATAACACTCCTTAGGCTTTTGGTGCAAGTATGCGTTACACGCATGTTTAAGATTCATAGGTCAAAACTTACTCATATACATAGACACGGTCGATTGCCCACTATGAGTTTAAAACAATTAATCTGGTTTTCTGACGGAGGAAGTGGTTAGTTCGCTGTTCATTGACCATTTATGAGGCAAATCCCACGACCCTCGGAGTATCATTGGAAGGTTTGAGTTGGATTTAGCTTCGGAAAAACGTACTTATAAAATTATCCTGCCAGTCACAATTATATTTATTCATTTACTCACTACAAATGTTGTGTTTGACTACTCTAGATGTTTATACATCCTGTTATATACAAACTTATATTATACTACTTCCTTTATTTAACTGCTTCCTGATATGATCAATTAAATTCTTTTATTTGTTAAACTGTTTATTATTTTCAACTTCACCATCTTCTTGATGCTTTTTATGTTCTCTACAGTTGAAATGGCTGTCTACCTTAACTATTGTCGTGGAATGCGTTTTGATAACCAACCGGATTATTCTTATTTAAGAAATTTATTTCGTGGACTATTCCAACGTGAAGGTTTTACTTATGATTTTATTTTTGATTGGAATCTATTAAAATTTTCTGGAAATGATCAAAATTCCATCAATAATACTACTGCTGCTGTTAATAATAATAACAATAATAATGGTAATGATCATTTAATTACAAATCAACAATCATCCCAACCACAACAACTTGTGCAGTCTTCTCGTCGTGGTCATCATCATGATGAAAAAATTAAATGTATGTCTTAGTCCTTTTTTTTGTATTAGTTGTATATGTACTACTGAGATTTGGTTGGTTTAGAGGTATAAAAATGATCGATTGCACAAAGCTACAAAATAGTAGTTTTTTTAAAACAAAGTGTTTATCACAGGTGGAATTCTTCATAGTAAATAGTCTTCTAGTTTTTGTTTATTTTCATTCATAGTTCAATCTTCGGTGAGACTATAATTTATAGACGAACCGATCAGATTTACGATAACAGGTTTTGAATTTTGGCGCGAAATTAACCAATTCATTTGGCTAAATAGAGTTTTGGCATTATAGCTGATATCAGTTCGTGATCAAAAACCTATATCTAATTCCTAACCCTGACTATCAAATGCAAATAGTAATCCTAATTCCTCACTAGTTTACAACCCTCATTTAGCCGTAGTATATGGGTAGACATTCTCAAGGTCATTTTAGCGTCGCTCAAAGGTCGTCCATAAGTTATAGTCTCACCCAACCTTCTTCCTGAAAAGTTATTAATATGGACATAAGTTACGCAGAAAGCATAACCCCATTTCATGAACACGCTTTAATAATGGGGTTTTTTGAACGCCTAACAATTCAGGGATGTTTTACGTGCACTTAAAACCTAAGGTACTGGGGAACGTTGTCAAGCCGTTTGTGAATATTCATCTATTAAAGTCTTTATAACACTTATTACGTTATGCCAAGTCACCAACTACATTTATGTGCAATGTTAATTGGTATACCGAAAGCTAGGATCTTTTCAAACCGAAAGTGTGACATCATTCCATTAGGGCATTGACTGCTTGTAGATACAAATTACTTGGTTGAGTTCGGCTCGGTATCAAGGACCTGTGGTTTAAAACTTTGAGTGATATTACTGAAAATTAGTTGTGATAGCGCGAATTCATTCACTTTTTATCTTCCTTGTTTAATAGTTTGGACATTGTTTTTATGCGTGTGTTGTTTAGTTCGCGATAAAGATAATTATCATTTTAAATTGTTCATCGTGTCCTCGAATCTCTTCAGTTTTATTTTTGGTGTTTTTAGTGGATGTAACTGCATGAAGAGGTCTTTCTTTTTTATATAACTTTTCCTTTAAAATACATCACCCTACAGCTCGTAACAAAGGAACATCTGGTAATGCGGGTTATACTGCTCAACAGGCAAATACACAATTAGCTCATAATTCATCAACTGCAGCAGTGATGAATTCTCGTTCAGGTTTTACGCAACAAGGTTTAGGCTCAGTGACTGCTTATCCACGTGGTATGCCACCATCGTGTCTCCCGGCTGCGCAAAATATGGTCGCTCAGTCATTACAGGTAATGAGTCTTCAGCCACAGCCTAATCAAATATCATCTAATACTGTCGCTCATCATCATGCACAACACATCCAATCTCATCCAATCTCGAATTCATTAACTGGATATTACAATCAGACGGTACAACAACAGCAGAATGTTTCACAGTCTCCTCAACTAGGCACATCACAATTTGCTAATCCTGCTTGTCCTTCTAACATGTTTCTTATGAATAATAATCATAATAATAGTAATGCAAACAATCCAATACCAATGACTGGTGGCCTACAACAACAACCTAATACGAATTTATACCCCTCTATTGACTCAAATTGTACTATTCAACATCCATCCCAACAACAGTCACAAAATGTTTGTTGTCTTCCAGTACAATCGCAACCTCAATCCAATCCAAATAATAATAATACTAATCATCAACAAGTTGTTACATCGCGTCAAATTGTTCAACCTATTTCACATCATCCACAACAAAATTCATATTTATTAACTCAACAAAATTCAATCGGTCAAGTAATCGGTGGGAATAGTAGCGGTACAACAAATCATCAAATTCATCATCACCAACAGCAGTTGAATGCATCTACAACATTTGGTAATCATCCGCATAATTTGTATCATTTACGTCTTCATCCGGAAACATTTTATGTGCCTGCAACAGCTAGTGGGCAGACAAGTAATGTTAATAATAATGAGAATTTCACCTCAACACCTATGATTTTGCCATCCGGACAACAAGTCGGTGGTGTTGGCAGTAATGCATTTCGAAAATAATAATAATCTATTATTGTCTGCCTACATGTTTCCTAGTATTTAGTTCTGGTGAAATGTGAATATATAAATGCTTGTAGTTTTACTTAAATTGAGTATTCTATAGCTCAGTGTGTTTCCAACTTTCTCTGTCTTTTTCTATGCTTGACTCTCTCTCTTTCTCTCTCTCTTGTTCACTTGCTCGCTCTTGATACATTTCACTAGCCTTGTACTGTAGTTATGCTTAATATGCAGTTTAAAACAGCTCGAAAATTATTCAATAAAATGCTGTACTATTTTTCATAGTTTATCTGGCTAATAAAAACTGTTTCGTCTTTATTTTTGTGTAAATATATACATATATTCCATGAATGTACAAGTACACAGAATGACATAGAAAAATGTGTAGAAAAACAATCTGAAAGCTTGACTTTTTTATGTCTGTGTAAAAATAAGTTTTACTCCGTATTATTTTCGTTTACGTTAAGAAGAAGAATCACAGTGGAGAAAGAAACACACACAAGCATATTTACATATATATATTTACACGGTGTCAGCACTGATCACTGAAGGCGATGATGGTGTTTTTGAAACTCATGTTGTATTAGACATTGTATGTATTTTTCCATATACTTTCAATTCATTGCTCCATTTAATAAATGTACACACATGGTCCATACAAAGGTGTTTGCATGTTTCGATTAGTTAATGCATTTCTCAATTTTATGTCCGCCTTCAAATATTGAATGGATTTCATTTATTGTTTCTTTTTTTTTAAAGCTGACTTTTTGTATGTTTTCTGTGTTTTTTCAATTATGCAAGTGTAACCTTAGTCATTAGTAGTATTTAGTTGATTAAAAGCAGCGACATCAGTACTTTTGATAGTGAACTTTGTAACCGTTAGCAAAATTTAATTCATATTTTCTAAGAAAAAAATAACAGAAAATGAGGATTCTGTATTATTTTGTCTCAAGTGTTATTCGTGTGTGTAATTGTTCTAAATTACCACCATTAATCTTTTGTTATTATTTAATGTATTATTTATTATTCGCTTACTTTTATACCCTTTTTTGTTTGTTAAAATCCAACTTCATTTTTGTGGCATTCTCTTCCTATTGGTTGTATTTATTATTTTAAAAATCCCTCCTTTGTGTTGAGAGCACTCGTTAAATTAAAAAGTATTAAAAATTCTTTGCTTACCATCTTTGCATTGTCTTCTTTTAGTTAATGACAGTTAGTCGGTAAGATGGTTGAACGATTAAACTTGTATGTTTACTCACCTAAAGGGCAAATGTATTCTCCAAATAAACGGGTGCTTTTTTATTTGTACATATTATATAAATGGTAGTTATGTTAAAAAAATATTATCATTACTACTAGTAATAAAAATACTAGTCTATTATATGCTGCAAATTTCGTTTGATTTTTATTTATTTTTAATCGTTCCATCTTTAGCATTTATCTCATGGTCTCAGTACTGCTTAGCATTAGATCATTGACTTGAACTTCCCGTGTTATGTCTTAGTATTCAAAAATTACGTTGTATCATTACTCATTGTGGGTTAAATCCAGAAATGTTAGTTTCAAAGTGTACTTGTTTTTAGTTAGCCAGTAGTAAACTGTTCCATTGTAGGTACACTATGAATTGAATTTAAAGCGAAAAGTTCATTTTAACGTGTTGATATATTCTGCTGAGTAAATAATTTCACCAATCGTTGTAGACGTTTTCCACAAATATATAATGAGCATTGAGTGCACTTTTAGACCACGAATGATAAAATTCTTATGTAGCATTTTATTACAAGGTGGATATTTGACCGAAACTGGGAAAAAAATGGTAATTAGTATGACAACCAAGAAGTCACTAACTGCACAATAAATGAAGAAAAAAACAGAACTTATGCAGTTAATGTTGAAAAATATAAAAATGTCATCAGAAAAGCCTATCGAAACGTAGATAAGTTGCTGTAAGGATCAAATAAGTCATATATGCACTATACCGCCTAGCATGACGCTTCCAGGTGGGTAGTTAGTTCAGGATATCTTTAATGTGATTCGTTCACAAAGTACAGATCCATGCGTTCATTTTTGAGCTGTATTGGATGTGGGGATCAGTTTTACTACCCAGCTGTTAAAATTTTGTATAAAACTTACGATAGTGTTTTGAAATTCAAGTTCGTTGATTGCTAAATGGTTACTTTATATCCTTCTTGTTAGACAATATTCTTTTTAGTTTAATAGTGATGAGTTGGCAAAGTTTCATATCATTATGCGACTTATGCTGTTTGTTAGATTCACTCGAATGACGTAATGGAGGTCGGTTAAACTCAAAAGACTATCTTCATTTCTCGGAATGGTTCTGTATCAATGCATATAAATAACAAATGGTTGTAGAATGAATAATTGGTTTTAGCTTAGAAACTTTCACTCAAGATGATGAATCTAACCACAATAGCAGTTGATCTTCAGGGTAGACTAGCACGAAAACAATTAGTTCAATATGGCCAGACACAAAAGGTGTGTTGGTTTAAGGGTTCTGTGAAGATTATTTAATTTCTATGTTTTACATCAATATTGCCAGTTGATAGAAGTTAGACATATAAACCGTTAGATTCCAACTTAGTATAGTAGCTTAGGAGTTAGGCGCGTGCGTACGAGATCGACAATCCCGATTTCGATTCCCTGTGGGGTCGTTTTTGTGCACTACTGAGGAGTCCCGAATTATGACGAAACAACGGCTCATGATTTCTCGGTTTGCAATGGTTGTTTAACTAAGATGTGTATTGAAAAATGAGAGAACGATTAAGCAATGAAACGTGAGGAACGAAATATACGACGAAGCGGTTGCTAATGAGCAGTATATTTTTAATGCGAAAATCTCACTTTACCCAGTATTCGATGTTTGAGACGTAAACGGAATATAAAACTTAGGCCAATTTATATTTGTTTATGTGGTGCAAATATTCATCAGCATAGATAAATATACACCTTTTTTAGAGCTAACAAAATGTCTACTCTTAATTATGAATATGAAAGCCTGAACAATTAAAAAATTTAATTACTACATAAACAGGTAAGAATATAGGCGAACTGATATGTTGGGTATTTATATGTAAATATTACTATGTGCAGTCCTATGGTCTTTATATCGTAAAATGTGTTGATTAGATACCGGACTGATAATTTCCAGGATATTTTTGATATGTTTAAAATCGGAAATTTCAATATTGTATACACAATAAGATTGACGACTAATTAGATTATGAAGAATCGGAGGATGAAATACTTCCGAGTAGAGACACTTATTTAGATGTTGATGGAGGATTGCTAAAGGTAATCCTACAGACTTTTTGTAGTAAGATTTATGGAAAATTCGAAAACAGAATATTTAAGTGAACAGTTGTTTTCAATAACCTCGTTATCAGGCTATAGGTATGAGTGATTAAAAGCTCTATTCTTGCTCAGTCGAAGGACCTAGGACATTGAGCTGATTTAAATAAAGCTTCTAAATTTATCCACCGCATAACACTGACTTAATAAATAAATAAATTTTCAGCAAATTAGACAACACATCAATGATGAATGATAATTCCATATGAGTATTGTAATTATCATCACCATAGGTTGATATATATATATATATATATATATATATATATATATATATATATATATATATATGATATCCTAACGATTAGAAATTAGAATTCTTGATATTTAGTAACTTCATTCACTTTATTCGTTTAGAGTAAATATATAAATAACTGAAATTAAATTAACATCAGTAAAATAAAACTAGGCAGATTATTTAGTTTAATCGAAATAACAATACCGGTCTAATTAGGTGATTGTCACATTATTTTGATTAAAATGATTTTGTATGAAACGTTGTCGTATTTGTGTGTGTATATACCAAAATATTTCGATTATTTAGTTAAATTATACTAGAGAAGTAACTTAAACAAAATCATGAAATACCGGAACTTCTAATTTCACTTATTGAGATATCATAAATAAATCATTATTTCATTATTATTATTATTATTATTATTATTATTATTATTATAAGTGTAGGTTATTAATAATGTAGTATATTAAGCAAAGTGATTACTGGTTAAGAAAAGTCAGTGTCCATATTAACATTTAGGCTTCAGTTTATAAACTTGTAAATATAAACGATTTATTAGTCGTTACACAGCATCATATACTCTTAAGTAATCTAGCTTATTTCATGCATTTGTGTAGTTCAAGTGATAGAGTTATATAACCATATGCTAAGTGGTGGTGCATATAGTTAAAAGTGGATAAGAAAACAGTTCGAAAAGTTTATTCAGTATGCTTATTGATTATTTATTTAAGCACATAAACATCGGTACAAGGAGGCAGCAAATAGATATGCGGCACATAAGTCATTCAATTTGTGTAACGGCTGGATTACTTTCCGGATGCCCAAACCGAAGAAGGTCGTTTTCTTAGGAGGCCCCACACCCGGACCCATCAACCTAAAGGTCTGATCCACAAGGTAGTAGAGCAACGTCAGTTGATGAAGTCCGATGGTAGTCGTTGGACAACAATAGGTTTATACACCGTTTGTTCTATCAGGATACTGGAGCCCATGTACACCGTTGGTTTGGAATCAGGGTTTTCCAACTTCCCTAGGTGAACCCTCCGTATCCACCAACCCGGTCAAAGCGCCGGTCATTCACTTTTCGTCCTCTCAATTTCGTAAACAACACCCCGCCACGAGAAGGCAGTGAATAGGACTTCCCTGGGAGTGGTTGTATGCACATGGCCATGTGAGAGCATATGGAGAGGGAAAGCTGAGTCTCCTCACTCTCGGTCGTACCTGAGCATTTGGGGACTTATTGAATTGATTTCAAATACATGTATTTGCTATTCAGATCGCAAAATTAGGGAAAACAGAGTATAAAATGACAAAAAGTGTAAGTTACAAAGTAAATGATCGACATAAAAATACACCAGATAACTCCAATTCAATGATACTTGTTCTGATAAAATCATTCAAACGATTTGGTCATAAT